AGTATTTTAGGCATGATAAAACCATTGTCTTCAGTTTTACCAGGCTTTAGTTAATTAATGAGTGTCTTTATTTCAGCAATTATAACGGGGGCCCAATTTGGGTGTAGGTTGATGTTGAGATCTGAATCAAAGTCAAGAAAATCTTTTTGTGAATATAAGGCTCAGTCTAAAATGCTCCTCCCATACAGAGGCAAGTAATGGGTGGGAGGCTATGAGATGCCAAAATTAGAGTAGAAGTCAGATAGTAGATAACAGCTTGGGATGCTGTTATCAATCACTGTCAGGAAATTCTAGAAATTCTTTTTTCTTTTGTAGAAGTTGTTTGTATTGTTTCTTCAGGAGCATAAGATTCAGAATTTTTTTGAAAATTTAAATAATAAAATTCAAATAATGTTTCTGAATCTTATGCTTTGCTGATCTCTTTCATCAAATTTAACAACTTTTAAACAAGGGCAATAACAGTCAGATTACTTAGTTTGTCATGTATATTTAGCCATTCAGTACAAATTATTAGTATAAAAACTTTGAAAATAAGAAGTGTAGTATTTTGAATACTTTTCAAAATACTAGAACTAAGCTTATAAAAGTGTGTTGTATCTGAAACTATGTTCTGTCCCCCCCAAAAAAATAAGATTACTTGCTAATAAGTTGTAAAACATAATTTTGTATCATTGACCTCATCTGATAAAATCTGCTTTGATAAATTATTCAGAAATTAGTATGTGGTGCAACTTTCTTTCATGTAAATGTCACTTTAAATATTTTGAATGCTATTTAGAATTCTTTATCCTGTTAGATTAGCTGCCAATCAAGGAATCATAATATGGAAAATAGAAGATTATGTCAAATCCTGTTAGCATTGATTTTTTTTATTTTTGTGTTATATTTCTACAGATTCTATTCATTTTTTATTGATATAATAATTGCCTGTAGTATATTTTTTAACTTTTTGGCATTTAACCAATAGCTGTTATAGAATTTTTAATGAACAGAATATTTATTCCAAATTAAAAAGAAGTGAACAGGAACAGGAGCAAATGAAATCTTTTGTCCTGGTGTCAGGTCATATGCTTCTGCTGACTTATCTTACCTGATTTAAATTGATCTATCTTAAATTGGAAAAGTTTAATTGTTCCCCATATATTACCTATAAATGTCGAGGTTTAGCTGGGCATAACTTATGTTTGTTTTCAGTAGTTATAAAGCTTAATCAACACCAAATCATCAGCTCAACTATGGTTTATTTCTAGAATTTACCCTAGTGAAATTAAACTGAATAGATTTCAATCTCTGCTTGCTTAAAATAGTGAAATAATGTTTAATCAGAAAATTACTTATAAATTTTAAAACAACCTTGCAGTAGGCTATCCTATGCTAGATTCAGACTAGCTTTCAGTAGAGAAGATCTTCACAGGCATTTTGTATCATCTCAGTGAAGCTTGTTTTACTCATGAAACTTAAAGCAAGCATGCAAATCAATCTATTGATGCTATTTTTTACGAATTATTCCATATCTTCACCTTGACTGAATTTATTATTGTTTGGGGAGATTTTAATTTTGTGTTACAGAACAAAATGCATATTAATAATAGGAAAGGCAAGCAGCATTTTTGTCTATTAGGTTATTTTTGTCACGAGTGTTTCCAGGATTGGTGTGGCTACTTGCCTACTCACAAACAATATGGTTTTAATCAAGCCATCTCCTGTTTGTAATTACCTGCAAGCCTTCCCGCCCTAGTTAATTGCAGGTTAACTCCCCATATAAGCAAGGACCTTTCCGCTTGCTACTCGGGCCTAGACTCCGGTTTAGGCCTAAATGCACAGCTCCTGCAGGAAGCTCAGTGCAAATGCCGCTGATGGGAGAAGAATGCAGATAAGGACTCCAGATGCCGTTGCAGAGGAACTCCCACGGATGCTTGCCTTTTGCTGTTTTGTAGCATGCAAGCTATCATCAGGACTGCTGTTGCTGGACCTTCTTCCTCCCACAAGCTTCAAGCAATGTTTGCTGTTTGAACTGTTTTTACTTCAGGTGACTTTTAGCTTCTATTACCTCGATGATGTATCGACGCCGAAGCTGCTTATCTTCATGTTAGCTTTATTCTCTTGTGAACTGTTTCGGTATTGTGGAGAGGAATCTAGGGAGATAGCCTTGCTTCACATACCCAGATAAGACTTTGTTTTTAATGTGCTTTCTTAAAGACATAGTGCTTTTTAAATGTTTTAAAAGTAAATTATATTTTTACACAAGACGCCTCTGTCAGATTTATTTCAGTCTCAGTGTGTTTGCTCATGAGCTGGTTCACGTCCGGGGTACCCCTCAACCCCATTCCCTAACAATTTTTAAGTATCTACCTTTTGAAGAAGTAAAGAAAATTGGTGGAAAAATGGATAAGAAAACATTATGTGGCTTGGAAAGAAAAATAGAACAGCAAAGGCATTTCATTTTAAAGGAAATTATTTTGAGCCAAATAAACCAAATTATGACCAGTGGGACTTCTAGCAACAATTCAGTGAAAACATTTTCATCATTTCAGAAAAATATTTATGTGACTATAATGTTGATGATTTTATTATTTACCCTAGTTCACATATGTACCATGTAATGAGCTATAGTAATTTGCAATAACAATCAGCAGGAGAATATCAACAATTTAATACATCTATGGTAAAACTACAATGAAGACAAAGTCTACTTGTATCTAGATACACTTATCTGATTTCCTTCTAAAATATTATAATTCCTAAATATTGAAACAAGAATGCTTAATCATAATGTTTACAGCATTTTTCTTATTGTCCTAAGCTTTTCTTATTATTCATTGTTAAGCATTTATCTGAAATGTTTATAAATAGACCAGAACTAGGAGCATGAAAGGATTCTTTTTTCCCCAAATCATTTTTTATTTAAAAAAGAAAAAAAGAAAACATACAAACATAATTCATTCAATCAAGTACAGACAGTACATTGGTCGTTTTGCATCCCTAGTGCCCTCCCTTCTCTTCACAATATCACTACATATCCAATATTTATTCTTACGTAAAATATATCTGTTGTATCATCATTTAAAGTATTTCAGCATTTACTTATATATCACCATTTTTTATTATCTACCCAATGGTAAAATAAATCCCATATCAAATAATATTGTTTTTCTTCTTGCTGTCTTATTTCTAATATCAGTTTACTCATTTCGGCACAGTCCAACATTTTCCTAATAATTTCTTCATCTGTAGGTATCATTTCCACTTTCCAATTTTTAGCAAATACAATTCTAGCTGCTGTTAGAAGATTCACAATTAAATACTGCAGTTCTTTGTTATATATTTCTTGTAAAATTCCTAATAAAAATATCTCTCGTTTAAAGTCTATGTGTCTCTTGGTCATTTTTTCCAACCACATGTGTATCTTAGTCCAATATCTCCTTGCTTCTAGGCATGTCCACCACATGTGGTAATAGGATCCTGGGGTCTGATGACATTTCCAACACCTCTCCGATTTGTTCTGGAACATTCTGGCGATTCTTGATGGGGATAAATGCCATCTGTAAAACATCTGATACAAATTTTCCTTATATGCTGTAGACATTGTCATTTTATAGTTATGAGACCACAATTTTTGCCATTTTTCTAAATCAATCCCATAGCCAACATTTTTCTCCCATGCTACCATCGATTCTTTAACTTGTTCTTCTTCCAGTTTTAACTCTAGCAAAAACCCATACAGCTTTTTAATAATGATCGTCTGCTCCCATTAAAATCTTATCCAAATTAGTCAAAGCATTGTAAAACCCTTCTGAGCATGAAAGGATTCTTCAGCACTCATCTCAGTTCTATCTGATTCCGTGGTTTAATGAATACACTTTAATATGATGAATCTTGTTAACAATGTGCCTTCCAATGTGTATTTGGTTTGTGAATAAGTAACATCAGTAGCAGCAAACCTGGAAGGGACCTTGAAGGCCTTCTCCTCCTGTTCAGCTAGGAGACCCCTATACCATTTCAGACAAATGGATGTCTGGTCTCTTCTTAAAGAGAAGCCTCCAGCGATGGCATATCCACAACTTCTGAAGACAAGCCATTTCACTGGTTGATTGTTTCTGTCAGGAAATTTTTCCTTAGTTGTAGGTTGCTTGTCTGCTTGGTTAGTTTCTATCCATTGCTTCTAATTTTGCCTTTGATGCTCTGGAAAATAAATTGACCCCCTCTTATATATGGAAGCCCCTAAATATTGGAACACTGCTGTCATGTCACCCCTGGTCCTTCTTTTCACTAAACTATAAATACCCAGTCACAATTGCTATATCGCTATAGAAGGGAAAAATCTGAATGCAGTAAATAAAGACAATCATATAATTTGTATATTTTCAAGAAACAATCTGAATTTCAAATAATTTCAAGATGCTGACAATTATATTTGAACTATAGGATATTTTTTTTCCTTCCCATTTTTTTTCATAGTATTTTTTTAATACAGGAATCAGTCAGAATGATACTCGTGCCAGTTTGTCTTAATTTTTAAAAAGTACCATTTTTTAAAACTTTAGCAGCTGGTTTTTCTTTACACATTCACAACTGAAGCCAAATGAGAACAGTTTCTGAAAGTTTGTTCCTCAAAAATGAAATAAAATATGCATGTGATTTGCAGCGTTTACTTCCTCAAAAGGGTTTTGCTTTAATAGCAATTTCCTTATTTTACAAGCCATGCCTCTATGAAAGCAGAGTGGAGTGCTTGAAATATATATAAATCATGTGGAAAAGTAATAAGATATCTATGTTTTATTTTGTGGACAAAGAATCCAATTTATCTAACTTCTTCCAACAGGCAAGCAGTCCTACTACAGGGACAGCTCCCGGCAGCCAATCACGGTTATCTGTCTGCCCATCTACTCAGGACATCTGTAGGTACGTGCTAAATTAATATTCCTAATCTGTTTAGTACATGTCTTCTTTACCTAATGAGCTATGGGTATTACTTTTGCCTAATTTCTTTCATGTATTTCTATCGTCTGTTTTTTTGTTTGTCATTTTCAATATCATGTTCATTTTCCATTTGATTCTATTACTTTATTTATGTTCTCTCTTTCTTTCTTTCTTTCTGTCTCCCCTTCCCCTCTCATTTTATCACTATCCATCTCCACGTCCTCTTGTTCTGTTTAGATCTTCCACTTTGCATGACCTATCAGAAGATACATTTGAAACATCAATCCATGTCATGGGGCTGAGCTCTGCTAGGAAAAAGCATGTAAAAAAGGTGAAACAAGGTGTGAGGCAGAGAAAGAAGGCGGAGGAGAATTCTGAGGATATAGTAAAGCAAAGAAAAGACAAGGATGTCAAGTCACATCCCAAGATCTCAAATCCTCGATGGAATGCCTTTTGCAAAACGACATCTGATTCTTCAACTTCAGATGAAAATTACTGGGCCCTAGTCAGAAAAAGAGATAGAGCCAAAATGCTTAGGAAAACGAGAAGACAGAACCCTTCAAATGTTTCTACAGACGAGTGTTGCAATAAGAACGCTATTGAACTTGCCACTATGGGAATAAATGGGGAAAAGAAGTCAGAGCATGAAAGCTATAATCTAAATAATCCTAGGAGGACGATTAGAAGGTATAAAGAAAACTCCCTTTCATTATCTTCTGTGTCCTCTGTGGAACCCAACTCCTTGAGACGGTCTGGAAAACACCAGAATAGCCATCAGGATTCAGAGCCTTCTACTTATATTAGGCAAGGCAGAACAAGCAAGGAGGACAATGGTTCTGAGGGAAGCACAGGCAGAGATCTTTTTACAGTTACAGGAAATGGAACAACTGGTGAGACAGGGGCTTCTGTGACTGTGGCTGCTCGGAAACATCCTGCGTTTTATGCTGACTTATCTGAGGATTTTGAAGCATGCAGGTTTGTCTCCTAATACAAAAGAGAATTGCTAGCTGACTATCATAGATTACACAAAAGATATGGTTATGTTTTCTTTAACTCATGCTCCTTTTTGGAGTTCAGATAAGTATGCTTACATGCTTGGCTACGAAACAGTTTGAATGGTGTATAAACTTTAATTATGAAATTGTAAAAAACATTTGAGACATAATATTGAACGATTTCAGATTAATAATAATACAAATAGATGTACAGCAGATTTCTCCTTAAAATAACTCATTCTTTTTCCTTTTCATTCTTTTTTCTTTTTTAACTAAATTGTGCGACAGCAACAATGCAGTGAAAATCTTTGTTGTTGTTATTTGTAAGAACATCTTTCCAATTTGCAAACTGTCATGTTTACAGGCCCTCAGTTTGTCTTTATAAATATATTCTTTGCCTGACCTAAATTTAAATGTTCCATAATTTATGCTGTCTATTTTGTCCTCCCGTTTTGGGTCAAACCAGAATGCCCTTTATTAATATTTGTGGTAACTCATCTCAGAAGAATTATAGCTGCAAGAGCAGGGTGTTAGAATTTATGGTGCTGAATATAATATAAACATTAATGATGTATTTCAAGGATATTATTCTAGTGACAGCATTCATTTATGGGTAACACAAGTATTTTTGAGATTTTATTATTCTAGATAGATAGATATAGATAGGTATAAATATTATTATATAAAGATAAATAGATATTTTAATATTAATTAATACATTGTACTGCCTGTAGAAATGAAGTATTTGTTTTCAGTCTGATATCAAAACATTAAATCAACAAACAGCTTATCTCTAGAAATGAATGCTATACAAATTTTCCCCTTTAAAATCTATGATAATTGTAGCATAAAGGCTTCAGCAGAAAACTAATATCATTAGAAAACTGCTAGTATATTATGCATGACAAATAAAGTTAAATACTGAAAAATTAGTTATTATTGGGTTTTCCAAAATGGGCTTTGCTTTAGATCTTTCTATTTTTTTGTGACACTCCATAAGAATTCTGAATTTATTAATTATAACACTTTGGGATGAATAATCCATATAGTTTATGAATCTCTAGGCATAATATGTCTCATAAAGTGATTTTATTATAGTCATATCCTTTCCTATGACTAGAAAAAATATGGCCTACTTATACTCTGAAAATGGAAATGATTTAAATGCAGTTGTGGTTTTTTTAACATCTTTGACGCATTGGGCATTCATTTTGAAAAATGTGAAAAAGGCAATATTTTTATGCCCATCCATCTAATTATTTTAACCATCATTTAAATTGTGGACAAGAATTATCCTATAAAGATTTCTTGCTTGCACAACCACCAAGGGATTAGAGTGCATATGGATTCTTATATGTTTTGTCATATTTTGCCATTCCCCATTTATGGCCTAATAAATATTTTTATTTTAGTACGGTCAGTTGCTCAGAAAACCAGGAAACTGACATGCTTCTATGAGGATATTTGGGAATGATTAAAACAATGATAGATTACGCTGTCATCACAGAATTTGTGGCATTAGTCCTTGTGAATTGGTCTCCTCACCCCCCCCTTTTTTGATACATACATATTTCTTTTCATAACGCCAATGTGTATAAAGTACATTTTTAAAACATGCTGCAAAAATCTGTTGCTTGTTACTTTCTATCAACAATAAATTGCAACTAAACAAGCAAAAAACAATTTAGGAGAAAGATTTATGATACAGTAATCCTGAGTCAGCCAAAAGTCAGCTTCCTTTTTACACTGCAAAAAAAGTTGCACTGCTCCAGTAAATTAAAGCCAATTTTGATCTGCTTCGGTTAGTCAGTTTCTTTAGAAAGGGGTCCTTGGTGTTCTCTGAGCTTGCTGGTTTTCTTGCAGATGTTTCATTACCCAAATTGGCTTACATCATCAGTACTATAAGGAGTGCTGTTTGCTGTCACTTTATATTCTAAAGGCTTGCCTTTCAGAGTTGGTGAAAGTGGTCTTAGAGATTCTTTGATTGGGCTGTTTGATGTTGGCTTCTTTGGCAGTTTCTTGATTGGGGCATAAGTTCCAATAAGCATTTTAGTGTTTCAAGTATGTATAGTATACTCTTGAAGGCAACCGTGAACTTTATCCATACACTTATCACAAAGAAACAGCTGATAAATTGGAACTATTACATTTCAGGATACTCAAGATTATTAATTCTGTTGCTGTACTATATGTTGCTGGTTTATACAAAATAAAGCAGAACTGTTTTGTACTATATAGTTTCTAGAGGAAGTATATCTTGTTTATGCTTCCTTTGCATATCCTGTTTGATTTTCTTTTTAAGTCTCAAAGCTATGTGAGGTTGCAAAACAAGTTATATACTTCAGAATATCTAGCCATTTTTTCCCCAAAAAATACACCTTCCTTACATGTACAGACAAAATAAGACTAATGTCTGTATATGTAGCCTTCCAAAGTTTCTTAAACATTTCCTATCCTAAAACTTCATAAAGGTTTCCACTCTCTAATGAAGGAACTGTTTTATTAATTATAAAATATTTAACTTGAACTGACAAAATTAACATTTTATACAATATGAAAATTTGATAGTTTCAAGGAATTGGAAGAGGGATGTGGCTTCAGTTCCTGGTTTTCTAAAGAAACAGCTTGAATCTGGGTGCAAATGTAACTAAAAGGTTTTCATTCCTCATTACTTTCTCATTAGATTAATTATTCTCTGGGGGAGGAGCAACCAAGCAGGGCTGATTAGGCATATTGCTTTGTTTTTTCCCTTCACGCAGGATTTCCTAAACTTTACTGGAGGTAATCACAATCAGGATTAAGGAAAATACAGTATTTTCCTGATGCTTCTGGCTTTTGCGGGAACTTCTTCATCCTGGCAGGCTCCTTAATCCCTTAGAAGTCAGTTGTGCCAATTTTAAAATACTGAGAACAGAAAACGTTGTAAGGCAATCAGTCTTATCTCCAATTGAGCAATAGAAGTATGCACAAAAAAGCATGACTCTAAACTTCTGCAGCTCCTTGAGTAATGGAACTTCTCTCCTTCCCCTCCCCACCCACAAAAAATAGTTACCATCCCCATCCATGTTTGTGTTCATTTTTCTATTGGCAAAAAAATGGTGATATGTGGATAGCCTATCTGGTTAAAAATACATCATCCCTTTCCTTCTGCTATTTAAAAGCTATTCTGAGACCAAATAAATCCTATGTTGGCATTTTTGTACCAGGTGCATTTTACAGTAAATTCTAATTATGAGTTGCAGCAGAAGCAGGAAACACCCAGAATTTAACAGGCTGTTCTGTTTGCAGATTTTTGTCTCTTCACGCTTATAGCCCAAGAGATTATATTGAAAAGAATTCTGTGGTTTCCTATTGTCTTTAGGTGGGGATCAGGTAGCATTAAAGCACTAATCTGTTACTTTTTTTTCACCCCAAGTAATGTTCTTGAAACAATTTTCTCTCTCTCTCACTCCCCTCTCTCTTCCTCTCTCTCCCTTTCTCTCCGTCTCTCCCCTCTCCCCCCTCTTTCCCTCTCTATCTCTATCTCTCTCCCTCTCTATCTCTCTCTCCCCCTCATTTTTAGTATGTAATCTCTACTACTTTATGAGTATTCTAATTATCAAGTACATTTAACCCTAACCCTTAAACCAGTTTAAGTCGTAGTCCAGCTCATATATAAACAAATCCATTTTCTTTCATTAAATATTTTAAATCTGTAACTCAAAATTATTTTAAGTTATGAATTGTTAGTAAGGCTGTCATAGCTCAGTGTGAAGCAGCACAAATATTACACTAGGGCCGAGATGGCAAACCTATGGCACGTGTGCCACAGGTGGACGTGTAGCCATATCAGTGGGCACGCGAGTTCAGCTTCGGCACACATGCGTGTGCTGGCCAGCTGATTTTTGGGCCTTCTGGGCCCACCAGAAGTAGGGAAACAGGCTGTTTCCTGCCTCCAGAGGGCCTGGGTGGTGGTGGGGAAGGCTCGTTTTTTTCTCTCACCTGACTCCAGAGCATCTCTAGGAGGCTCTGCAGGCTGGGAACAGCAAAAAAATCATTTCCTGGCCAACCAGAAGTTGGGAAATGGGCCATTTCTGGCCTCTGGAGGGCTTCCGGGGGGGGGGGAGGCCGTTTTTGCCCTTCCAGACTCATAGAGAGGCTCTGGAACCATGTGTGAGAGAAAAACGGGCCTACCGGGCCATCACGTGCCAGGAGCGGGGGGAGGTGGGGTCGCACATGCATGCACAGGGCGGGGCGCATAGAATGATGGGTGTGGGCGTGCATGCATGACCCTCCCACCAACCCCTCCCTCCTGGCACGCGATGGCAAAAAGGTTAGCCATCATTGCACTAGGGTAATTACAATACAATGAACATTATAAAATACGAAATATGGTAACAGCTATGGAATAAAGATGAGAATCTAAAACCTAATACTATTCAAACAACTAAAACTAAAATACTATTTTTCATATGAATACTAGGGCACATTGGCTGCATTTTAGGTAGTAAACTTTGTTTCTTGCTTGCTCTTTCATATTAATTGATACAATAATAAGACATATGTTCCTAATAACTATGGTTATTATCTTCACAATAGACTGACATCTTCAACCTACTTCAAACCATGGTTTGCAATTCTGCTTGATCCAAAGCTGACAACCATAATTTTTCAGTTTAGTTAAATGGAAAAATATAGTTAATTAGAAACTTGGTAACTTATTACAAAGAATTCAGGGAATATGCCAGATTCAGACAGAAAAAAATAGATATCGCCCATTTACTGAAAGATTGTTGTCTAAAATGATCCAACATTCTAGAATAATTTCTCTATTTCATCATCTCTCTTTCTCTTTTAAATTCTATATTAGATATGTTGTTACTATTTTTTTCCATTTAAAATTTTAGGGTTTTTCATTTTAAAAGAAATTTTGAGAGAACATGCACATAATTGTAACACATATGCATAAACATTAGAACAATAAAGTGCATTAATACTACT